CTTGATCTTTGACCTTGACCTAGTTTTCTATTCCTTGGACAAAGGACCTCAAATCAACAAACCCTAGGTTTCTATCACTTATGGTTAACTAGTTACGAATGCTTATTTCAAATGCATTAGGGAAATAACTCTTATATGGAGTCATATGGAGTCTCCATATCGCTTCCGTCAAAACTCCTGAGGATATAGCGAGCAATTTGGTAAAACAAATTTGTCGCTTTCTTTACGGTTACGGAGGAGATCTAACTACAAAGATAACAGTGTTTAAGGATATGGCCTTAACAATAAAAAGTCTTCGACTAACCAGTGTCAGTCTCAAAAGCGCAATAACTGTTCGATATCATATGCAAAAAATCTAAGCGACATCTTGCGAAACCACAAAACAGGGCACGTAACAAATTTGGTTGAAGAAGAAAAAAAAAATATCAGAACAAATACAATTGGTCTTTCCACATAGATTGCACGTATCATTCGTTAACAAAACAAACTTGTGAGAATTTAAAAAGGATCTGGCAAACCATATAATAGTGAAAACATAAAAATTACAAGGATGAATTTTTGGAATAATGCTGTAAACACATATAGATGATGTAACGTCTTGTTCCTAAATGAGACGAATAAGAAGTTTATTCTAGATTGAAGGAATAACAACAAAGAAAGTATTTCCTATCATTAAATAGTCATAAATAGTATGTTCAATGGTGTTAATATATCCTTTGATTGAGTTAAGCTATTTCAGTTGATATTTTATAGTGTGTCTTTCTATGTTGTGATGTTACACTATTGTTTCAGAAAAAGGGTAAAGGTTTGGTACCATTAAAACGTTTAAACCCGCTGCATTTGTTTGCACCTGTCCTAAGTCAGGAATCTGATGTTCAGTAGTTGTCGTTTGTTGATGTGGTTCATAAGTGTTTCTCGTTTCTCGTTTTTTATATAGATTAGACCGTTGGTTTTCCCGTTTGAATGGTTTCACACTAGTAATTTTGGGGGCCCTTTATAGCTTACTGTTCGGTGTGAGCCAAGGCTCCATGTTGAAGACGGTACTGTGACCTATAATGGTTTACTTTTATAAATTTTGACTTGGATGGAGAGTTGTCTCATTGGCACTCATACCACATCTTCTTATATCTAATAACTATTAGTATCTTAGTACTAACTATTCTTTTCAACTCTGTACCTCAAAACTATTGTTTCGACACACATTGGAAAACAATTTCATTTATCGCATTCGACTGTGCGTTTTATTTGAAGATTTCTGTATTGAAACTGATACCTTGCAATTTAAAAGGCTTTTGAAAAAATACATGTCTTAATGAATTATATTTCGAACTTATTCTTCACGGAAACATGTTTAAATTTCACAAGTGTTCAAGTCACATTTGATCATATAAATTGTGTTTAATTCTAATTATATGCCTTTTTTGTTTTGTTTTCAAATTAATGACAAACACCCAACTATCTCAGTTGATTTTATTTTGAACACTTAGCTTATATAATTGTTAATATTTCCTCACCTTGAGAAAGGATATCAACGTTCCAACATTTGTTGAATACAAAATGATAAAAACAAAACTGTATTAGAGGTAGATAAGAAATATGTATTTATTTTATAAACTAAAATTAATTAAATTGATAATGTGTCCATGGAACACAAATGATGCCTACGCTTGCATATTATTTTCTAAAGGCACATTATACACGAACGGTAAAAGTGAGGCATTCCAAATTCGAATTTGATCTGTTTTTTGTAGTACTAAGCATTGTTTATAAGTTTCATGACATTTAATTGGGGCAAAACTGGGTTAGAAAACGGGAACGAAAAATTCTGCAATTTTTCCATTTGTAATTGGGTAAAACCCTAGAACGGTAACCATGACACCAACCAAATTCAAACTTGATTTGTGTTTTGTGGTTATAAGCATTGTGGATAAGTTAAAACATATGATACACGATATATGTGTAAAAGAATATTCATCGTCTAATTTAATTGGAATAGTTAGAATTTTGCTTTCTTTCAAAATGATTAAACAAAGTTGCTTACAGCCACGTCTTAAGGAAGATAGTTGCAAAAAAACATCTCTCTTTACTTTTGTAATGTTCTTTTTAAATATGTCACAAGTAGAAATGTGCCAAGAAAAGTAAGATAAAAAATTCTATGAAGCCTTAACAGAAATGGAAGGTTGAAGGTCCCTTATAAAATAACTATTAGAACTGAAAACAAGGGACAATGGATTTATCAATATTGAATTAATAATATTTATCAGAGTAGTATTGTATAGGAATATATATTTTGTTTTATTTTCTGTCATTAAGGGATATGTTTTCCCTGTGTTTGTGTTGTTTGTTTCCTTTGTTAATTGCATATCAAGTATTCCCTTTGTCACTGATCTCAAAGAGTTTGTATTTGTATATTTGTATTTCATGATGGCTTTCCACTAACAATTCACAATTTCTAAACTAAATGATTTTTGCAAACCGGTTATAATGAAGCATAATTTACATAATAATCAAACATTTATTTATTCAGATATTTAAAGGTTTTCTCTCCTTGTTAATGTTTAGAAATTATTATTAAAGACCATATGAAGAAAACCACAGTTATAAAAATAACTTTTACAAGGATATTTTTTAAGAGATATATATTACACAGATGACAAAACTTGTTCAGATATTTAAAATAAATCGACTTGTCGCTGTTAATAAGATCGTGTTAAAAACCATATAAGAAAAAACCCAATTATAAAAATAACAATTACAAGGATATAAATTTAGAGATATGTAGTTTACAGAAGACGAAGTTAAAAGAAATTCAGGTAACAGGTAATGGTTCTTTGTTCAGACATTTAAAGTTATTTGACTTCAGTGGTTAAGCAATTTCTGTTAAAAAGACCGTATAGGAAAAACCAGTTATAAAAATAATAATTACAAGGATATTTTTTAGAGATACACAATTTATAGAAGATGCGGCTTTAAATAAAAAAGGTAACCGGTAACGGTTCTTTGTTCAGACATTTAAAGTTTTTTGACTTCGTTATTAAGATTATTTTGTTAAAGATTATATTAGGGAAAACCCTTCTATAAAAACAACAATTCTACATTTATAGAGACGAACAGTTCACAGAAGAAAAGACAAAAACGGAAAATAAGGTAAAGGTAATGATTGTCCGAAATTTCGAAAGATTTTGCCAAATAATAGAACTTTGACCAAGGTAGCCAATTATTGTTCCAAAAACTAAAGCAGTTTAAGTAATATTTCTTATGAAGCTTTGTTTAAAAAAGCATTAAATTTGAAATTGTATGTAAAATGTTTACCAATACCGGCGGAGAACACGTCATTTCATCACCATTTGCAGAAATATATATAAAAGCTAATAACGAAAATTGTCCTTCAAATAAGAGTATGGATGTTGATTGGTACATATCTGAAATTCTTCATATTTAAAAAATTGATTAATGTATGAAATGTAATTTTAGAAAACGTTCTGAAAAGGTGATTTTCTGTATCCAAATGTGAATAATATTACTAACATTTAAACCAATCATGAACTAGCAGACAAAGCTATCTATGCTTTTAAATCCCAGATTGATAACAATTCCTTTCATTCTATTCATATATGAAAATCGTCGTAAAAACTGAATTAGTTTTTTTAGAGTGAAAAATATTTCAAACTTAGTAACAAGTCCGAGTATTCGGATATTAACTTTAATCAGTTTGTGTTTCTCATAATTCCTAGTAATCATAATTAATTACATTCAATCATACCAAGATATATTTATCAATTATGGACTTGCAAATTTTCTTTTCGTCTGTTGCAGCGCTTCCTCTATGGTTGTTATATGTGACGTCATGGCGTCTTAAAACTAAATTTAGCGAGAATCTTTATATTGACCGTCAATATACATATAAATATAAACATAGCGTCAATATGCTTCAAAATAGAAACAAGGCTTCGGATACTTAAACTATCATTTGAAACACGTGATCGTAATATCCAATAAAAACAGCAGAATGCAACACCAAATGTAATAATACTATCTATCTACCATTAGTAAAATTAAATATTTATTTATCAATACAACTGGGATTTTTAATTACAATAAAGTTGATTTCATTTGATTTTTTTTTTCCTAAAACAATATAATACAAATTGGTCATATTTGCTTTCAGACATGGTATCTTTATTAAAAGAACCGGAAAACGTTTTAAGGAACGCAATTCTGACAGTTGACCACTCGACAGAGGTTTTGCAATGTTTTTTAGAACAACACCTGAAAAACAACAATCAAACATTTGAGGACTTTCTGAATCAGAACCAACATGACATCTATCATCTATATTATGATGCAAAATGCTGCCAGTGTGGACCGGGACCTCTACAAAGAAAGAAAAGAATTTTATTTGCATCTCAAATGGAACTTCTTTTTAATAAAAACAGACAATTATCAGTTCATAAAATAACAAGACGCAGTGACTTTTGTTGTTGTTATGCAAAACAGAATGTCACCACAGCAGTATTAGATTTAACTCTAGCACGATGTCTTCTTATGAATTGTTGTATTGACATGTTTTGGTACAGTTGTTTGGATTTCAAAGGCATGACGCTTGAACAGTTCCTAAACTCAAACAAACATATTTTGTACCATCTTTGGAAGAGCAATAACAAATGTTGTAAGTGTCAACCTGACTTAATTTTTCCATGCAATGCTCCTATAATCATGGATAGCGAATGGAATCAAATGTTCAGTTCTACCTTGCCGCCATGCGAAAACGACCGGAAAAGACCGGTGAGTGGAACCATTAGTATTTGTTCATTTTCAGCTACATCAAGTATAACTGTTCAGCAAATACATTTAGAACTTCAAGGTATTATTATCCAGTACTGCTGCTACACACGAAAATCGGTAGAAAAATTAGCTGAACTAAGAAACGTAACTTTTAGTCATGTGAAAAAAGCAAGTATGTCATGTGCTGATTTCAATACATTTATAAGCGAAGCTGAGGACGCCATACTAGATCTAGCGACTGTGTGTGGAAAGGAAGATTATTACAAACAGATGCTTCTGGATCTTCGTGATAAACCACTAGATACCAATATGTTTCGTCAATATGAAAGGGTTCTGTTACAGACGATAAGCAACTATGAGGTAAAATAAGATAGTTGTCTATTGTTAATCGTTTAAACTGAAGGAATGGATGTGAAGAAGGAGCTCAGTGCCATATATTGAAATGCCAAACTAATTATAACAAATTTTATTGGTAGAATATATTTAATTATAAACTAGGGTCTCCTATGATCCTTTCCGTTTTGAATTTTCCTCGGAGTTCTTTATTTTTGTTTTAACCTTTTATCTGATAACTATGATCAACTTATCACAATAATTGATCTATAACTAAGATGTTAACTAGTCAATTCCGCATCCAATTGTTAATTATTTAAAAAGAATATATAAGTCATGTGTTGTCTTGTTTATTATGAATGAAACAGTATATAAACAGACAGACATCCTTAAAATCGATACATGGTGACGTGACGGTGTTTCTTTGAAAAAAACGTAACCAGAATGAACCAAGACGATGCGACGCAAAGTTAATTAACAACAATGTCTTGTCATGAAAAATGTAAATCTTGGAAAACCTGATATATTTATTAGTTCTATTTGGCTTTCAATTACTACGAGTAAACTAAGTTTGGTACTTTGTGACTTTATTCTATACTTTGTATGTCCAAAGTCAGGAATCTTTGATCCAGTTGTAACCGTTCGTTTGTGCCTGTCATATGTGTTTCTCGTGTGTTGTTTTATCATAAATCACGCCGTTTTGCCTTGCTTTTCCTTTATGTTAGGTCGTGATCATTTGCAACTAGCGTTAAGTTTATGGGTTTACCTTCAGCTGCTTTCTGACCTCTGCATTTGATCACTGGTATGTTGCTGTCTCGTTTGTAGTCATACCCCATCTTTGTTTTTCATAAATTGTAATATTTTTAGATAAGGCTTCCGTAACCAATAACTTAATAACTATGTCTTTTGTACATATAGCTTCTGAAGTATACTGTTAGTTACATAGTGTGCGAGTGATCTAATACGATTTATATGAGGTTAATAAATTCCATATGGGATGAGAGCGAAGGTAGAATCCCCATATGGAATTTACTGACACCATATATACATATAGTATTTGGTCACTAGCACACTATGTAACGAATTTATCTAACCGACTATCTTAACATGTAGTATTTAGATTAGTGCTCTATCAAATTGATCAAGTCTTCAATACTAAGTAATTGAGAACCTACTTCTGTTGGTCTACACAAATACAAATGCAAACAACAACAACTTGTTAGCTTTACATTTGGTCTATGAATTTATTTCAATCGTTTATCTTCAATTTCTTTGTTTGTTGAAACCTTTCAGTTTTTTTCTTAAACACCGTGTTGTTTTTATATAGGGACGTAACACCACTACTAACCGTGTATCGAAATAAACCCTGCCTACTTACCTTATATGAAGTATACACGGTCTACACGCTTTAAACCAATCATATTCCTAGAAATGTAAAGGAAGTAGGATAAAAATATGTATACATCATTGGCCGTCACAAATTTGAATATGAACATTCCTGTTGGAATCGATATTTGCCTTTGAAAGTAAATACATGTATCAACGTATCTGTCCAATGTGAAAACCGTCGCCATAGGTTGCCCTTTGTAATTTCTGAAAATGTTTTTTTTTTTAAAAGTCGTATTGATGGCAGAAATTTGATTTTGTTGTTAAGATTTTTTTTACTTTTTCTTTTTACTTTGGGATATTTGGACAACGACATATTATGACGACTGTATGAATGTTGATTTCCATAGGTCTTGTAACTATTTGCCGTCTCCTTGACTGTAAGAAAGTAAAATCAAATACACAGACTATTCCTGTTTCGTACACATTGAAATGTTTTGCATATCCAGAAATATAAGAATGACCAAAACAAATCAGTTCAGAGAAATATAAGAGTATAAGAATCGTTAATTTTATGTTGATTTTATAGCAAAAGAAACATAAAACAGACAATATTTGTTTATAATTAAGCATACCATCGGAGTCTTTAAAATTTCCAAACAACTTATAATTCGTACAGGTACACAATAACAAACAATGTATAAATTAAACTTCTATTGTTTGTTTCATCCTGTCAATGTATGAATAAAACTTGTCATTTTTTTTTACCATGGCGTTGTCAGTTTATTTTCGATCTATGAGAATGACTTTCCCTGTGATATCTTTCGCCCCTTTTTTATAGGAAACCAAAGAATTCACGTTATGGAAAAACACAATAACCTTATATTTCAATTCCAGGATATCATAAAAGAAAACGAGGTGCTGAATGACGGAATTGAGTCACTTAAAAATTCAAACGAAGAAATGAAAGAAAAAATAGAAAAGTTGTGTATATTACAAACAGGTATGATATAATGTTATTTGTTGACTCTGCTGTGTTCCATTTAAAATTTGCTAGATGTACTTAGTAACAACTATACTTTTAAATGAGAAGACCTCAGTTTGTGTGCCGCTTATTTTCCTTCCACAATAAATTAATCATCATGCCTCTGTGTCATATATGTAACATGCATAGTCGCATTTGTCATCCTCGTTTATGATTATTCAGTTTGGGTTATTTTGGGAGGAAAACTTAAATAAAGGCATCCTGATATTGTTTCCGTCATCGGACGGACTTTTAAGTCATAGACAAGACTTCCGTTTGGGACTTTTTTCATAATTTTCATAAGTACTTTGGGAAAGGACAATTATTTTCTCGTTTTTCTGTATACATACTATGATCAATCATATTCTATAAATAAAGTGTATTTGCTATTTACTATCAATTCCGAGTTTATTGTCAGCGGCGGTCATTGATATATCATATGTAGATTTGCTATTTACTATCTATTCCAAGTTTACTATCCACGGCGGTCACTGATATATTATATAGAGATCGAAAATAATCAAAATTGACAAAAAAAAAATTAACGGACTTTTGAAAAAAGGGGGTTGGTTTTAAAAAAAGGATGTGTATATATATTCAACACATATTTCTAGTATGCTATCAAAAGAGAATGTTGTGCAATACAACTGATAAAAATACGACAGATATGCAAACAAATGATCACTCATTTGGCATTAAATGAATGTTGGTCACATTCGAATCAATATATCAATATTTTCTAACACATGTCACGTTTATTTGGATATTTATAACACTGGCAAAAACTCAGAAATTGTGTTGCTTAATCTTTACTTTTGTTGACTTCTTTTTTATTATTCATTGCTTGCAATGTATCTTTTATGTGTCTAAATTTCGTTGATCTGTTGTTTTTGACTGCACCTTGTTATCTTCTCTCCATCTTTTTCATGGGTTTTATAAGCTTATTACTCTAATTTCGAAGTAGGTAGACATTCCACAATATTGCTATAGGAAGACCCAAAAAGTCTCCTAAATAGGGGTGGGGGGGGGGGTCCTGATTTTTCAACAAAAGAGAGAATTACGAGTGAAAAATAATAAATAACGTAAAATAGGAACATTTCATTCTTCTGCTAAAGGCACTTGCTCTAGTCGAAGCTGTTTTAAGAAGAAATCATTATTATTAAATATTTTTAATTGCGTTATTGTTTCGAATTTTGACATAATCAATCTACTCACACTTTGGAATTTGGGGAAAACAATGAAGACACACTAGTATTTTTTACATTCTTGTCCTTTGGTCTTTAGTGATAATTACTGCATTTAAAGGTATACCACATCTGTCTATTTCTATAATGTTGATATACTTCTTTTCTTTTTCAGAAGGGCCGAAGAGAAAAAGACTCATCGGTATGGTTATCTTATTCTTTGTTATAATTTTCCACTGACAAACTATTTAGTTGTTCAACAAATACTTATTTCTTTCGACGAAATATGTTAAGAGATATAATGATAATTGTCTATTTTTTATATTTGATATTGAGTTTCATCTAGAAAATACTTTATACAACTCATATCTAAAAGTACTTTGTAAACAGTTTTGCTTAAATTGAATATAAAAAAGTTAAGCCATTCAGATTAATAATAAATGTGAACAATCATAAGAATTGTAGATAAAGATTTCAATATCACAAATTCCTTAAAATTTAAGTTGAAAAGTTTGACTGTTCCTGTAGAAAACTTGTTATAAACGAGATAGCACATCATAATTTTTATATTGAATGTGTTTAACGAGCCCGGAAATATAGTTTCCCTCCGGGTAAAGTTATCAATTTTTTTCATAAATGTATAATAAAAAGGAAACCAAAAGATGGCCCCCGGTTTGGACAAGGTTTGTTCTACTCATTCTTTAGTTTTCTTTGTTGTGTTTCGTAAACTGTTGTTTTTATTTTGTTAATTTTTCGGATCTTCTAGTATTTGCCATGGTCATGACATTTAGTTGTCGACTTATGATCCCGACTTTCCTGTTGGTATCATCCGCTTCTCTGTTATAATTATTAGAATAATTGGAAAAGATGTTCTCGTTAAAAATTGTCATTAAAGGACAATAACTCTTATAAAAACCTGAACTGGCATTGTTGTCTTATTTGTAGATCTTGTCTTACGCAGGTAGGTTAATGTACTTTAAAAAAAAAACTGGCACTGAATATCGGTGTTTGCATCGAAATCTAAATCTGACGTCATTCACCAAACTACGCGGAATCTGATTGGCTAGATCGTTCCATCAACGTCAAGGTTGGGCTTGCACATCACGTCATACTTCGTGATCATCAGCTGATCGGGCACCTTGTCATGAGTGTCTTATCACGTAAACACACGTTTCAAAGATGGATATTGCTATTATTTTGAGGTAAGTTTGTTTCAAATTATCATATTCTTTTACTGCCAAAGGCCGTATATTTCATTTCATTGATACATCTAGATCAAAATGTACCTTTCTTTAAAAAGGGGTGTTAATTTTCACATTTGGCGTTTTTCTGGCTATTTAAAAAACGGCAATGACGAAAGGCAGTGTTTATAGAAAGTATAATTTTAGGCAAGTCAAAATTACTTTACTAGTGTTAAAATAATGTGGTTGCTTATGAAAAAGTGCTGTCAGACTGACATGCCATGGTCATATTAGATCATACTATTATGGAGGAAAACACTTCCATATATTTTGAGCATAAATCTTCAAATTACTCTTTAAGCATCATGATTATGTCCCATTTTCTCTTAGGTATTTGATTTGTATAATCCTTTACATATTACAAATACAAAGAAGGGGGTCAAAGAAAGAAAAAGAGAGCATAGTAAAAAATGTGCATTTTTTAACTGCTTCATGGCACAGTGTGTGCAGTCATGCCAATAGCTTGTCTAAATTTAGTAAATTATCATTATAAGTAGGAATTTGATATATAAAAATAACTAGCTTTTATAATCATTTAGTATGATGTGACCATTTTTCAAACACAATATTAATTTCATTTATGTTTTAAAATCATATTAACATTTTATTTTATCACTTTTTGTGTTCATACATAGAGCAAATTTGATTTATTGATTTATTGCACTTTAAAAAGATGATATAAACATATTATTATTATATTGATTAACTATCAAAATTGACATGAGTTCTGTCTGTTGTAACTATGATGTCTAGTACAGATTTAAGGAGGACACTTTTGTTTATCAAAAGACACTTTTCAACTATTTAGAGTGTTATGGGCTTGAAAATTTCCAGTTATGATTGTAAAGTTGTCTTCTTCTTTTGTAGAAAGATTATCACTACACATTAGAATGAAATTTCTAATACCCAGAGAAAACATAGTTTCCACAATGCCAAACAAGAGGTCTCCAAAATGTAAGCATTGATATTATTATATTGTTTTGTGTGTACATAACTGCTTCCCTCAGTTTCATTCAGTCAGTGCAGATGAAGTAATATAAATAAGCATATTGGTTAATCAGTGATTATGTCTCAGAAAGTATCATTTTTAGTATTATGTAGTTTAAACTATATAATATATATTGTTATTTTAAAGAAACTTTTTAATTTGGAAATGTATTTTTATCTAAAAGGTTACATCCAAGTTAACTGATATGCTATTTTATAGGAAGATAGAATTAAACTTACTATTTTGTATCAGATCATATATGAGGGTCTGGATGGGGGTCCTTCATTTCTGTATTCTTTAATTTTTTAGGCCATTTCTCTCTAATCTTTATACATTTTGCCCATTATTCTCTATTCTTTATATTTTACCCTTACAGAAATAAAAAGTTTGCTGCAATATTGCAACAATATAGCGGCAATATTGCAGCAAACAAATTTGTTTGCAAGAAGTGTTTGCAAGAAAGTTGCAGGTTGTTGCAGCTACCTGCAACATTCTCGCAATGTTACTGCAACAAAATTTGTTTGCAAGAAAATTGCAGCAAGTTTGCTGCAATGTTGCAAGAAAGAATTTGTTAGCTAGAAAGTTGCAGGAACCTTTTCTTTTATTATTTAAGGAATGACTTTTTGCAACAACTTTGCAAGAAAAGTTTCTTTAATAATGTCAGACAATCAGATAGTTTAAGTTGCACCAATATTTCAAGCATTTTAAAATATTACATATGATTATTTGTTTTAAGATTTAAATTAAGGTTCAAATAATACACAACATATTGTTTCTTTGAACATTTGGTTATGGATACTTCTAACTATCTAAATTTGTTGTCGTCATACTTTATTTTAATCAGAAATATCTGGATATTTGAATAATTTATTTTAAATAAATCTTCAAATAACAATGCTTATATTTTTAGAATTCCTAAACTGTACATCACATTTATATGATATTTTGTAAGGAAAGAATTTCAAGAATACTTTGGTATTTATTTCAACAAGTTTAATCTAAATAATTGAGTCATAATAATTTTTGTTCTACATGTATTGTTATGCCTTTTTGTCACTTTTTTATGACATTTTTCTATGAACAATATTTTTAATTCTAATATTTTCCATCAAATGAATTTAGCCTCACCTGCAGGTTGCATTTTGTTTAATTTCTAGTATCATTATTTTAAAACTATGTATACACAAATTATCTTTCTCATCTCAATTAGTAATATGAGCTGGTGATAGAAATGTAATGTGCCATCTGGTTTCCATGTATCTCTGTGTAGTGGTAAAGTAAGGAAGTACCATAAATTAATGTACAGAGTTTGAGGCCAAATTAAGGGTAGAGCATTTCTTCTTTGTATATATTTCCATTATAACTTATAACATCAAAGATAAAAAAAAAAAAATATATATAATTATTTTTTTATTATAATATATAACAAATATTCAAGATTTAGGCAATTGATATTTATAATTAGGGGCAAATTTCAAAGGGATCACATTGTCACAATACCCTAAGCAACCTAAGCAAAATTTGAACTGGACATGAACATGCATACAACAAACAAAGATGTCTTCTATCATGAACAAAGTAATATGAATTTTACAATGGATTTAGATCCAAAAGTTCCAACTAATTCTATTGACACTGGATAGTGCATATGATAGCCTTCAGTTGACATGACTCTTGGATTTAGGAAGATTGGTGTTTACACATAATTTGGATAACATCTTTTGGTAAGTACAACGGAGTTGAATGTCCACCATTTTGAATAAGTGCTTGCTCTTACAGTTCAAAATAGTGATATTTAAAGAGTTTTCTTAACTTAATAGAGTTGACAAAAGTATAAGACAATAGATTTATGCACATGAATATTATTAAAATTGTGTAAGACAGGAGATATTTTTTTAAATCTTTTTAAGACTATATGTTTTAGAAAGTACATTACTTAAATTGAAACAAGAAATCTTCTAATAAAAGCAGTTTGGTATCAAATTAGAGATCTGTGATTTGACTGCCAATAAGAGGTCTATCAACAAATGGCAACAATATTTAGCTTTTATATATACACAACTAATCTCAAAAATTTTTAAAAAAAGACAAGACCAATTATGTTATAGTTCAATGAAAAACAAATATTCAAAAAAGCAATAACAACCTAGTACTGGCATAAGGTTAAATGTATTCTATAGTAATATGCAATTTCTAGAAGGACTTGATCACTTTTAGACATTGACCCTTTAAGTGAAACAAATGCTGGAAAAATTGGTCTGTAATCATCTCTTTATAAAGAGTTATTTTCATTTTACAAGTCCAGAATTTACAATATATAGTAGTAACTTATATCTTTATATCTTTATAATGTTTAGTTATTCTTTTAATGTATGCTAAATTCTTTAACTTTTATTTTGCAGTATTTGAAATCAGAAAATTCAACTTTAAGGACAGTGAGTACAGAGAAACAGAACTAAAGGATACACAGATATGTAACACAGCAACCTATAGAGGACAGAGAAAATTTTGTTTTATTATTAAATCATACTTTTTTAAATGTTTAGTTTTTAATTCCTAATTTTTCAACTGAAATTGTTGAAAGATTTGCTGCAATGTTACTGCAATATTGCAAGAAATTAATTTTCCTGCAATATTGCTGCAACATTGCAGCTAATGAATTTGCCGCAATATTGCTGCGACAATCATAGCTACTGATTTTCCCGCAAAAATTTGCTGCAATATTGCCGCAAATTGTTGCGGCAATATTGCAGCAACTGTTTGCAAGAAAACTAATTTACATACGAAAAATGAATATTTGCAGCAATATTGCCGCAAATATTTGCAGCAACATTGCCGCAAATATTTGCAAGAAGCCTTATTTTTCCATAAGGGTAGCACCTCATTATTCTCTATTCTTATTATAATTTTTTTGTTCCATTATTCTCTATTATGTAAACTCCATACCCTCATATATCAAGTATATTTTATCCAAATATTGTTAACAATTCTATTTAAGCACTTTGGTGACTTGTAAGCAATGGTATTATACCACACAATAAAACTGTGAGAGAAAAAGACTGCACTTCCTTTATTTTGAAAATGCAGCAAAAGAAAATTGTGTATCATATAAAAACTACAGAGATGATTCTGGATCTATGCATGAAAAGAGAAATGATAGAAAATATATATGTGAGAATTAGTTTTTGATAATTTATATCAAAGAAGACTGATTACTGAGCTGTGTATAAGATAATTCATGACATGTTACATGTGAATTAAAGGAAAATTGAGGAATAATGCAATGATCAGTATGACAACAAATGAATATCAATAAGTTGAACAATATAGTGTTTCTGGAACATAGAAGACAGAGAAATAAAAATATAATCAGAGGAAAATACTGTGTACTTGTTTCTTGTGGGGATTTACATACAAAAGGAAATTGTCAGATAAAACATGTTATAATATTGTGATGATTTAAAATCTGTGAGAAATGAAATGTTTATGACTATTTATGACATTTATTACTAAGATGTCAAAACAGACTGATAGCTTTAAATAACAATGTGTAAAGCTGATTTGTGGCATACAAAAAAGTGAATTTAAAATTAACCAGTTGAAAATCATTGAAGCCAAACAATGTTTAGTATTACAACAAATGGATATCAAACAAGGAACCAATAACTAATTTGATTCTGGAACATGTAAGACAGAGACATTTCAAAGGTTTGAATGTGATTTGGATTTATTGAATGAAAAAAATTAGTGTAGCAGGATTTGATATTTTCAAAATAAAGTGTGAGGCATTATTTAGATCAGAAATATATGAAGATTCATCAGACATCTTTATAAAACATTTAAATAGACATTTACTATTAACTATTTTACCATTCATTTATACTTTATTATGAATTGAAAAATCAAAAGCTTTATTACAAATCATTGTATAGACATTATTTATTTACCCTTGTGTGGCAAGATACATAAACATCATAATACAATGAGTATTATGAAACATGCAAGTTTTTAGTGAAAGTACACATTTATGTACATGTATAAAAAGCTAAACAAATGTTTTAGAAATTCTCTTTAATATTGTATGCTATTAGTTTTCTTTTATCATCCTTCTTAAATTTTTGGGCTAACTACTAGTACTTGATGTACTTTTTTTATTTAGTGTTAGAAGTTAAGTAAGTTTAAAACTTGGACAAATGGATTCAGCAGTTAAAGAAATAAATTTTTTAATATTTTCTGGGCTTTTAACCACTGTCTCTTATTCAGCAGTTACAGGGGATAATGAATGGTACATATTTCTCACAGCAGATTTGATTTCTTGAGGTCAACTTACACATTTTAAGAGAGAAATATCATGTATTATATGACTAATAATGTCTCTGATTTTAATAATCCCTTCATTTGCAGAATGACTGGGTTTTTACAAGGAAATTCATTCATAATGTGCACAATATTTATTATTATTGTTATAAATTTTAAAACTTCACCAGGAAATTGATAATTGAGGACCCTTGAAATAGCTTCTTTTTTTAAGTCAGTAATAAAGGAATTGATCAACACCTTCTACATATAGACTTTAATACTTTTTGACATTTTAAAATATAAAACACATCAGAATGGTGTCTCAACAGTATGACACAAATTTAAAACTATGCATTACCCATAGAAATCCTTTAAATAGTATATTCAAGAAAGAATGCTCACATTGTGTGTGAAATATTGAAGATGAAACACCCACCCCCTTTTTTTTCAAAACGTACTTATTTAAGGGCATGGTATTTTTTAATAATTAACGAATGTTATTGATTGCCATATATGCGTGATTTTCTAAATATGCGTGCATGATATAATCAGAAACAACAGCGCAAGAATGTTTTTATCTTGCATTTATGAAATTCCCGTAAACGCAACTTTGGAATGTTTTACCTCGATTACCTCCCTTCCGCGATCAGTAAAGCGTTTATGCAATGGGCGTCATTTCAGACGGTATATGCGGACAACAAACAAACGAGTAGAACAAGTTACCAACGGCAATATTATTTCAAATCCTTCGAGTTGTTTATAGAAGAATTAGTCAGCTTATTGAAAATTGCTGAACGCTTGTATACATTTTTGGTTAAATTGAAAATAGAGGTATTTTTTATGATAAAATTCATAACAACGGACGTGAATTCCTGGTTTTAATGTTGTTAAAATAAAGGGAAACATTTATCAGTGAGCGATCAGCAGTTTTTATGGAGTAAAAGGTATCTTTTACCATACAGTGAAATTTCATGGCGACATTTTTAGTATGGGAACTTGTTCTACAGGCTAAATCATATGGGAAATTAGTCATATCGTAAAATCACGTGACGACTTAGACACCACGTGTGACAGCAGAAAATATTTTCTTGGTAGACGTATCACCAATGTGTACCACATAAACAAATCTGGAATCAGTTATTTTTCTTTCAAAATAAAAAATAAATAAAAAAGGGGGGATGCCTAGAAAATTAATAAAATCCGGCATTAACCTACCTGCGTACTGGTTAGATTTATCATTTTAATTGTATCCTTATTTATTAGATGCGCAGTTTATGTTTTATCAGGTTTACATTAAAGAGTTAAAAGGTAAAGCCAAACTAGACCAGTTTTCACAGTGCAATTGGCAATTTCTTAGGATTTTGCAACAAAGCATAAATCATGCGGTAGAAAAAACAAGATTGAAGAACATTTAGTTGGTTTTCAAAAATGTCACAACGTTTTATACAATTCAGTTTAAATCTTAAATACATTTTATTGTTGTACATGTTGTATCTTCCCTTTCTGTTACTGTAAAGGAAGATATTGCATATATGGTTTAAAATGGTGAATTTGAAATCATCCCTTCATAAATTTTGACGGACGGCATCACGAGTTGGTTGACCGTTAAAGAATACCCGTTTCACAGATGATATCGGATATGATCCCTATGTCGAAACTACAACTCTGTTCCCTATTCACGAATATACCTACCGAATTAAACTATTTACTAGCTATGCAATAACACGACGGGTGACACATGTGGAGCAGGATCTGCTTACCTTTCCGGACCACCTGAGATCACCCCAGTTTTTGGTGCGGTTCGTGTTTCTTAGTCTTTTAGTTTTCTATGTTGTGTCTTGTGTACTATCAAGTTTCTGTTTGTGTATTTTTTTTTTTTTTTTGGCATTGGCGTCGTCAATTTGTTTTAGATCTATGAGTTTGAATGTCCCTCTGATATCTTTCGTCTCTCTTTTAGTAGCGAAATGCAAACACTAGCAAAAAAACAGGAAAAAGTTTGGTGATTCTTAGAAACACTGTTATAAAAAAAATCAGAATTAATATTCATGCAGAGGATAGTATTGTTTATCTGCACATTTTTGATAAATAAACTTTTTTAAAAGGATTTCATGAATCTTCATGTATTTTACTAGATTTCTTTAACAAAGTTTCTGTAATTGTATTATTTTCATTTTGATTTCCCTTATTTGAAATGCATTTGGTACCATTAAAACGTTTAAACCCGCTGCATTTGTTTGCACCTGTCCTAAGTCAGGAATCTGATGTTCAGAAGTTGTCGTTTGTTGATGTGGTTCATAAGTGTTTCTCGTTTCTCGTTTTTTATATAGATTAGACCGTTGGTTTTCCCGTTTGAATGGTTTTACACTAGTAATTTTTTTTGGGGCCCTTTATAGCTTACTGTTCGGTGTGAGCCAAGGCTCCGTGTTGAAGACCGTACTGTGGTTTACTTTTATAATTTTTACTTGGATGGAGAGTTGTCTCATTGGCACTCATACCACATCTTCTTATATCTATCAGTGAAAATAATGAATAAAAAATACACCCAGTGCAATCATACAACACTAGGTTTTGGTTACGTCTCACATCGAATGGATCTTCCTTAAATGTGTACCTTTCAAAATACTCCTAGCACAATATCCGAACTTCTACCAGTAGATTGGAATTCTCATTTGTACCTGATTCTAATTAATATAAATAGGATATGATAAGTTTCGTCCTGACGAGGGAAGACAAACACTAAATATGCTGTTTTATTTATGATTTATTTTTCAGGATATGCAAAATTTCTATATTAAATTAAGCTGATGCTAAATTGACGAGAATGTTAAAAAGTTTTAATCTTTCGATGTCTAGTTTAACTGAATTCTGTCTATAATATTATGAAAATCTGTCGTTTATATATTAACTTTCTTATTGCGTTATTTCTGTTTACTCTTCTGTGTAAAAAGTATTCTCTATTTGGACAATAATCCAATAGGTATGCATTGAATCCCGATTTGAAATAATTCCTTTTCTTCATTACTAAAGACGTGTTGGGTTTTCCACCTAAACAAGGTAAATTGAAAAGAAGATTCATTACATGTAATTGGCAATGATAATTATATGATCTAAAGCATATAATACTAACAAGATTGAGAAACTAGTTCACTCATTCGAGAAATGTAATACAATAACCAATAATTAAGTCTGATTTAACCTATTGTTCTATACCGTTAAAATCATATCATGCATTATTACACCTCTGACTTTTATGTAAATAATGAAAACTTTCACCTTATTTGATGCTACTTTCTCCATCTAGATGAAACATCTGATGAAATTGAGATTCACGAAAAAGACGTCGCATACATGGAGATAGAAGCAGTTAGACACTGTATCCAGTTATTAGAGAGTAAAAATATCGTGATCTTATCTGGCAGAGAGGGCAGTGGTAAAAGTAAAAATAGTTTTAGAAATACTGAGACAGCTCAAGGAAAAGAAAAGAAACTTTGATGTTTTTAAATTGACAGGACTTAAATATGTATCTGACATTGTTAAACGTAATGTGACAAGTATTGTCCTTTTTGATGATGCTTTTGATAAAATGTGTGATCCATTTTCTAACGATAAACACATCCTTGATCACTTATACTCGTACATAACACTAAATAAGGTCAAATTCATTTTTTCAATGACAAACAGTGTAAAACATGCATGCCAAATGTTATTTTCAACTCACAGATTATTTGATGATTTTGTTGATATTGATCTTAATTCTGAGAAATTTAAGTTGACTGAGGAAGAAAAAGAAAAAATGTTAACTAAATATTGTGACATAAACAAAATTAGGATATATGAGGGCGATGAGGACAATACATTTCAATTTCAGTCAGTATCACATCAAAAGGATGCGAAAGAAACTATTCAGTCAGGGCCAGGGCCAGCTCATTTAATTATTAAAAGAAAAATCATGAATGAAATCATACAAACTGATCCTTTTCCTGGGTTCCCGGAATGTTGTCGAATATTTACAAAGAAAAAAAATAATACTTCTCTAGATATTTTTAGCTTTTCATGGCCTCCAAAAGCTTTAGTAAATGAAATTGAGAAATTGAGAATGGAAGGAATAGATAATTATATGAATGGATTGAAGTATGTCATATTGATTTATGTACTAACACTAGGCCGAAATCAAACTGCAAGTCATTCAAGGCATGTCACATTCCAAATTGGCAGAATTTTTGATTAATGTTTTTTGTATTCTCACGACTTGAATGGCGATTTGAAAACGGTTCGTGTATGCGTCACGGAGAAAATTGATGCACAGGCCTGTAACGAAATTTTCAATGTCTGTTACAACAAGAATAAAGAGGTTTGTAAATCTGATGTAGAACTCATATGTCAAGTATTAACAGGTCGCTATCTAATGAACACAAAAGGTACATATTCCTTTCAACATCAAGCCATTCAAGACAGTGTCCTCATTTCTTATAGCAAGATTAACCCGAAAGCCATCATACCGCTTCTTCGTCTCAACCACATGATAGATATTGTTCATCCACAAAATCACATGGAACAGGCAGACGACATTGTTATTAAAATACCAAAACCATATTATCATGAATTTGCCAAAATAATACTTGTATTAATAGATAGTATATGTTATGACCAAAGCAAACTTGATAGATTTATGAAATCAAGCATAATCACAGAAAATGATGAAGACCTTACATATCAATTGATTGCATGTATACACAATAGAAATGATACCGTACTATGGCCTCGTTTATTAACGACATTTAGATCGTACACCCATCATTATTTTCCATTATATTTGCTCAGAAGCATAGGAAAACTTGATAAAAAAATGTTAACTGTAAATCATACTAAAGATCGAATGTTAATATCAGTTACCATTGCAGACAAACATACTAGCATTTGCATAGATCCTAATCTTTCTATTCAAATAGCATTTCGATCAAAATATAAAGACATCATTAAAAGGTTGTTAAAGAATACCGACCATGTATTGCTCGATTTTACAAATATCTTCGATGAAACAAAACCGGATAGAGTTCTTGGAAATACAAAATTGCTATTAGAGAATGTAAAACATAATATGATTGATATGACGCAGTTATTTATTAACGTAGGCTTCCGCACGAGCGTCGAAGAAAAACCTGCACTAGACTGGATAGTGGATAATGTCGATAATTCTTTAATAGATTATCATAGATGTATAGAAGAAATGTTAGTTGTGTATCAGAATGATATAGTTTTACATATACTAGAGAAGGTTAACCACAGATGGTTGAATATTAATGCAATAGTCAAATTATGCTGTGAAGTTGGATGCAGTGAGATAGTAGAATGGGTGCTTGAGAACATTGATAATGAATTAATTGACGAAGAAGAATTAATCAACACTACGATTGACGGATATGAAAAAGTTAATGACTGTGATTATGATGATGATGATGATGTTTGTAAATTTTGTATTGGTTTTATCATCATTTTAGAACTGTTTATTTTGGAGAAACCTGGAATTTTAAAATATTTTGACTTCAACAGACTTTTTGGTACTGCCAGTAGAAAAAAGTGCTGTGGTGTTTTAAAATTATTATTTGAACACGACAGTAAGTTATCAATCAATACAGATCAAATCATTGAAGTAGTATATAAACATTTCGAAGAAGAGGAAGATGAAGTAAATGAAGAACATTGCATGAAAATTGTTCGACTTATGATGAAATACTATTTAGATATCGACGTCAATAAAATAATAAAGAAAGCAGTTGAAATTGGACTCCCCAATATTGTAGAAAAATTGTTGTTGGACAAAGTTGTCAATATGCATGATATAGCACATTATCTCAATATTACATTAGACAAATTGCGGCGTCAACAGCTTAATTATAGTTTTGTATATTTTGACCGAGGCCGTGGAAAATTACTTCTGTTACTTTTACAAAGAGTAAACACAAAATTCATTGATTTAAACAGTATTATGAATGATGTTTGTCATATTGGTCATTCATCAGCTGTACAGTGGCTACTGGAAAATAAACCTAAACATACTTTCATTATTAGGAATATAATGAACAAAGCCTGCTATCATGGGGATCTTAAACTTGTCGATTATCTTTTTCAAAAATATAGTGCGGCAGATTTTGAATATAAAACTGCAATGCTTAAGGCTTGTCGAAATTCGAAGAAGCAAACGTTAGATGTTTGTAAATGGCTATGGGCAAAAATTGACCGTGATTTGTTTGATATGAAGGTAGCACTGAATAATGCATGTAGATGTGACAATATTAAAGTTGTAACATGGATCCTTACTGATGTTGACAAGGGATTATTTGATACAGAAGCTGCGCTGGTCTTTGCTTGTGAACATGGTAATTTAAATACAGTAGAATTGCTTTTGGATAAATCTAGTATAAACATGATTGATTTTAAATATGCCATTACACTAGCGTGCAAGAATGAAAGGAGTGGTTTCCAAATTACAAAACTATTATACGAACGTGCTGATAAATCAATTTTGGATACAAATACCATAATAGCAGACGCTTGTAAATGCTTCAATAACGATATTATACAATGGATAATAGAAACATGTGACCAAAATATAACTGTAGCTGACAAAAGCGACGCAAACCCGAATTTGATTAATAATTCCGACAAAAATATAATCGACATGAACCGTGCAATAAATTGTATTATTGATATGGATGCGCCTGAGAAAAAAACGAAGAATTTAGATGACACTAAGTATAACCTTTTATGTCTTATCCTTAAGCAATCCGATCTAAGGATGATTGATCTTAACAAAATTTTGACAGAATCCTGTAAAAAGGACTGGTTAGTAATGTTCAGATTTTTACTTGGAAAAGTTAACCATGCATTATTTAATACTCGAGAAATGATAAATCTCGCATGTCAATGTGGGGCGTTCGATATCGTCAAATGGGCGTTAGAAAACATTGATGTTAAATATTTAAATGTTGAAAACGTGATGGTTGAATCGTGTGCCTATGGTTGGCTTGATTGTTTGGTTCTTATTCAGAAACATTGTAATCAATACAAATTCAATGTGCACACAGCAATGGTTGAAGCTTGTACTTATGGCCGCATTAATACAGCCGAGTGGCTTCTACATAACGTTAAGTGCCAGTGTTTTAATCTTCCTTTGCTTTTACAAGAAGCAGGTCGGAATGGGTGGATTAACATTTTTTGCTGGCTTTTACGTAAGGTGAAATTTCGTACATGTGACATGCATGTGGCAACAAACGAGGCACTTGCAAACGGCCATTTACATATCGTCGAAATGATGCTACCCGTTATAGGCAAAAAATGGCTTGATCTTTCTTCCTTTTCAGAGAAAATATATTTAGATTCAATGAAAGAAGCTGTCTTAAAATTTTTACTACATCATTTTGATCCAAACCTCCTGGATATAGCCACTGTGATGACAAAGGCATGCACATTTGGTTGGAAAGATACAGCAGTTTTTATTATAGACAATGATTTAAGCAGTCAGTGTGATTTTACTTTAGCATTTAACAAGGCGTGTGACAATGGAGAAACAGGAATCGTGAAATTGCTATTAGAAAAAGTCGACCGCCAGATTTTAAACGTTAAGAAGGCTATGCTCTCTGTCGCAGTTAAAGGATGGGACGAAATAGCTGTATTGCTATTAGACAAAGTCGAACATACACGGCTAGATATTGGAAACGCCTTTATAGAAGCATGTCGGCATGGAGAAATAGATATTGTTCAAGTAATACTGCGGAAAGTAGACAATAACATGCTTGACATCAAAACAGCTTTTAATAAAGCATGTGAAAATCAAATGCATGAAGAACTTGTCTTGTGGGTTTTAGAAAATATCGACCAAAAACAAGTAGATTTGAAAGCTGTCAAAAAACGGTCAATTCGACATAAATGGTGGAAAGTTCAATTTGTATTGACGAAGGTAGATACTGAAGATCTTAACCAAATCGAACAAGATATTGAAACAGATTGCATCGTTATCTCGTAACAATCTAGTTGAAATGAAACCAATGGACCGAACTTGACTCATTGGACGGCAAAACAAATGATATATCATTGATCTAAGCAAATTTAGATTATTTAAACTTTCGGCAGAACAGTCGCATTTCATTTTGATTAACAATGATTAATGAGTGGTCTTTCTTACAGCATTTATAAATATCAAATTAAGTTCTGATTGTCAGTAAATATCTTAAAGATTTCACTTATCATTTATTATATAGTTGTGCATATTTGTCACTGTATCGCATTTTTAATGTACTGCTTTGAGATCAAAAAGTATAAGCACCATTATTAAAAAAAGTGCTTCGTTGATTCAACAATTATTGTTTTGATTCAGATTTTGCTTTAAGAAAACACATGTAGTAGGTATACAGAATTTGTTATAAAGAATATTCTAATTGTATATCATAATTATGAAACTATAGATACGTATATCTTTTGTGACCGTTTAATCAATGTGTGATCAATCATGAATCTGTACAGCTGATCATATTACATAGTTATTAATTTTTAAATGTACTGAAAAAAGTAAACTTTCCTAAGGATGATTTAAGGTATGTCAAAAGCCTCAATATCCTATCTTACCTCTATTTGGCAAAACTTTAAGGAATTTTTGGTCCTCAATGCTCTTTAACTTCGTACTTTATTTGGCCTTTTCAACATTTTTTTTATTCAAGAGTCACTGATGGGTCTTTTGTAGACGAAACGCGCGTCTAGCTTAAATATAAAATTGCAATCCTGGTACATGGAAAGCCTCAGCTGTCATATATTAGAGATTTACAAAACGTTATGCTGAAGCTTAAAATGTAAAGTTAAGACAGCGTGGTGTTGAATCGAGTCATCAAAATGCTAACTCTAAATTACAATATGCTAAGTTGAATCTGCGCAATTTTGACTTGCAATGACAAGTGCTTTAGTCGTGATAGTATAATGATAAGTCACGATGTTGTGATGATATACCAAACACACGTAACGTTGGGTTTAAAGTACATGATGTGAAGTTGACGTTGCATGATGTTAGCTTGCAGATGGATACTGCTCAGTCATCTACATCGACAGCTATGATAACAAATAAAATGAATAGCTAAAATGTATGGTGCTGACTTGTTATTAATTAATGTTGAGCTGAGATAGTACGATGTTATATCATTGTGATATTACGATTGGTCTATCATGCAATCTGTTGATTTAAAACACCATGATGCACAGTTGAAAGTACATTATGTAGAGTTAAGATAACACGATGCTACACCACTATATTGAAACGAAAGGCTTACCATACAATTTGTTGACTTAAAACAACACGATGCAACGTGTTAAGCTAAGATGCCCACTTGAAACTACAGGACGTACAGTTCATATTTTGTAATGTTAAGCTACGATAGCACGATGTTATATCATTATAATGTCACAGTAGGCTTATTATACAATTTGCTCGTTAAAAACTACAGAACGTACAGTTGAAAGTACGTGATATTAAGCTAAGATGGCACGTTGTTATATCATTAGAATGTCACGATAGGCTTACCACACGATATGCTCGTTTAAAACTACACGACGTACAGTTGAAAGTACGTGATGTTGAGCTATGATAGCAATATCTTATATCATAATAATATCACGATAGGCTTGCCATACAATATGCTCATTTAAAACTACACGACGTACAGTTGAAAGTACGTGTTGTTCAGCTAAGACAGCACGATGTTATATCATTATAATGTCACGATAGGCTTATTACACAATTTTCTCATTTAAAATTACACCACGTACAGCTGAAAGTACGTGATGTTAAGCTAAGATAGCACGTTGTTATATCATTAGAATGTTACGATAGGCTTACCACACGTTATGCTCATTTAAAACTACATAATTTTCAGTTGAAACTAGATGATGTTAAGCTAAGATAGCATGTTGTTATATCATTTGAATGTCACGATAGGCTTACCATACAATATACTCATTTAAAACTACACAACGTACAGTTGAAAGTATGTGATGTTGAGCTATGATAGCACGATGTTATATCGTAATAATATCACGATAGGCTTGCCATACAATATGCTCAGTCAAAACTACACAACGTACAGTTGAAAGTACGTGTTGTTGAGCTCAGATAGCACGATGTTATATCACTATGACGTCACGAGAGGCTTATCATACAATGTGTTGACTTGAAACTACACGATGTAAATTTGAAGAAGTTTGGTCTTGACTTGAAACAGTAAAATGTTAAGTTAAAAAAACAGAACGTAAAGTCAAAATAAAACAATGATAGGATGACGTGTACTTGTGCAAAATTGAAGATTTTTGGTGTTGACTTCGAATATAGTACAAATATTAAATCGTTTTATGTTAAATTGAAAGACAATAACGATGCGTAAAACATTACAGAGTTATGTGAATTGAAACTGCAATTCTATGGAAAAGAATGAGGGACAAATCCCCAGGATTTTTTCTTCTTCATTTGCAAGTTCGGAGGCAAAATGATATACAAAGAAAGTTTTCCATAAATTCATAAAGAAAAAAGAATTACCCTTCGCTATATATTTGTACTTGAATACAGATTTGCCTATATTTGACATGATTTTGTTTGGATTTTTTTTTATGATTAAAAACTAGACTTTTTTTTATGAACAATATTTAAGAAAATATTTATCTATGTTGTGTGTTAATATATACAACATAATATTGCGCTTATAAGACTTCGGTTATAAGACTGTGAGGGTCAAATTTTACTCATATAAAATCACATCTATGTAAGAGTTAGCGGAGAATTTGTATTTACCACTCCCGTTTTCCACGAAATAAAACATAAGCATCTGGAGTCTTAATCTTAAAAAACAAAGATCAACTGATATGACAAATAATACGGTAAAGCGTTGGACTGAGAGGGTCAGAGCTATATGAAAATGTGACCCCCACCCCCGGCCTTGTTAGAGGTATCTGAAAATTTGAATTTTCTTTTCCACGAAATAAAACAAAAAGAATTGATAGGTGGAAGAATCCTACTGCTAGGGAGGGCCAACCCAAATATAAAGTATGGTTGATTCTGTTGTATACTTTTCGCTTATACATGAAGTCTATATGAAACCTAATGAAATATGACCTAGAGCCTCCAGTCTAAATCGTCAAATTTCAAAAAAAGAAATACATCATTTACAGCAGTGCCAACCATTTTTTCCAGCACCAAGTAAGATAGTGCCCAGGTTTATGTATATATCCACTCGGAGAATATTTTATTTTTTAAATTGGTAAAGTCATTGATGGACAATGACCCCTATAACTTATAATAAGAAGCCAATTAATGAATTCCGTCACTTATTTTCTTGTCCATAGTGATTTTCTTGGTTCTTTGCAGCTTCTCTCTATTTATATGTGTTTTCAAAGAAAAAGAAAAAAATCAAAAATCTTTAAAAATTGTTAAAGTCCATGAATTATTTTGGTATTGCTTTGATTAATTTGTAGATATGTTTTTTTTATGTCAACAGTTTTTCTTTCTCTCTCTCTCTCTCTCTCTCTCTCTCTCTCTCTCTCTCTCTCTCTCTCTCTCTCTTATAGTTTTCATGAGTGTGGTCTAAATTAAAATCGATAGATTTTTTTTTAATTATTTGCAAAAATGTAGTTTATTCTTTTTTGAAAAACATAATAAAAAATTTGGGCCACAGAGCATTTTGCAAGCTACAGGTTATGCAGTATTGTCAGATTTTGTATAAACTATACATGGAAAACTCAATGTTAGAAAATAAAAATAAAAATTGGGATCACGAGACTCGTTTTCTGTCTACAAAACGAAATAGATAAAGTCCCTACACATTCCATCATTAGAGACGAAATATGCCAAAAGGATTTCAAACTCATAAGTCGAAAACAGACTGGGCTAGGACGAAAAATTTTGTCCTGCCTTTTTTTTAGTTGTAATCTCTGTCCTGCCTTTTTATTTTTCCCTCTATTGGTCCTGCATTTTTTTTTTAATTAGTTTATTCTGACTTTTTTTTTACATAAATCGTCATCCTGCCTTTTTTTTTGCCAAGTTGCTCATCCTGCCTTTTTTTAACTCAAAACTCCTGTCCTGCCTTTTTCTCAAATTTCATTCTAGCCCCCCAATAAAAATCAAATGGTAGCTCCCTAAGATGGCGGAAGACACCCGATCTACCCTAAGGACAATATATCTAATGAGGAAGAAAATTACAATTTCGGTCAAGTCGAGTTACTTGTAGATCTCCTTTTGTTGAAAAGGGTCATTTATCTATCTATTATACTGTTCAGGGGGAGGGGAGAATCGAAAAAAAAAAAAATACACAAAAATGGATAAAAGAAGACGAAAGATACAAAAGGGATAGTAAAAATCTTAACCAAACTGACAATGGCATGACAAAAACTCATCAGCCGAAATAAACGAGAGAAAAAAGATCAAAAGCCAAACAAAACTGAGCAGCACGAAACTCTCAAAAAAAAAGGGGTGATCTCAGGTGCTCCAGAAGAGTAAGCAGATCCTGTTTCATATGTGGCACCCGTCACTTGGCGATTTTGCAAATAAAGAAGGAATGCGTTATAATTTTCGAGGAACTCCCCCCCCCCAAAAAAAACATGAACTACAGGGTGTCAAATCGATGAACATGCTTAAAATAGGCTCCTTTTCATAAAAAAGAATTGATGAAAACGTATTTGTATTTAGTGTACAGTGACAAATATTACATGCATATAAGGACGAGAATATATAAGTGTGATATCAATATGAATAAATCTTTGCTCTGTACAAGACATATTTTGCTTGCCTAGCCGAATTTCTAACAAACTAGTTGACAAACCGTCTCTGACAATCTATGGAAATCCAAATAGCATCGGTTTTGTTTAAGTCCAGATTTTTTGGTTTTATTTCGGGGAAAAGGGATGCGTTTTACGTACAGTGGCAAATATTACATGCATATCAGGACGAGAACATGTAAGTGTGATATGAATATGAATAAACCCTGCTTTGTTACAAGACATACTTTACTTGCCTAGCCGAATTATCAACGAACTAGTCGACAAACTGTCTCTGACATTCTATGGAAATCGTAATCGCATCGCTTTTAATTAAGTCCAGATTCTTTTGTTTTATTTCGTGGAAAAGAAAATACAAATTTTCAGATACCTCTAACAAAACCGGGGGGAGGGGGTCACATTCTTATACATCTCTCACCATCTCAGTCCAACGCTAATGGTATTATTTGTCATATCAGTTGATCTTTGTTTTTTAAGATTAAGACTCCAGATTCTTATGTTTTATTTCGTGGAAAACGGGAGTGGTAAATACAAATTCTCCGCTAACTCTTAC